GACCGGTGCCCAAATCGGCTTTTGTCTTGCGCCGAGGGATGTCGGCGACTGCTGCAATCGCGCGGTGCGTGCGCGTTTGGCAGAAGACCAGAATGATGCAAAGCAACTGCTGACAGCACCGCGTCCAGTTTCTAAGCAGTATGTTAATATGTCGGCGTGCTCTTGCGTGGGCGATGTGACGAGGCTTTCTGCTTGGGGCGGCGGCGTTGCTAGCTGCGGGGCGAGGTCGGAACTTCATGTCATGACGCAGCAATTGGAACGGAACTTGCACGAAGCGGGGGGCTGGGGCCCCAACCCTGGGAATACGGGGCATCTGCTAAGTATTGTTGGGGACGGGTGGTGAGAGATAACGAGGGAATTGCGACGCAAATCTAGCGACCTCGCGGGGGAAGCCGGCGGATAATTACGCGCCTCGGTGCCCATCTACGCGCGATGGGAAACTGGGGGTGGGGGGGGGGGGGTGGCAGCGGCTGGGAATGCGCGGGGGCTGGCTGGGGCACTCTGGAGATCGGGCGCGCCCAGAGAAATGCGGAGGGTGATGTTTATCGCTTTCGTCCAAGGCGCCGCTCTGAGCGGATGAGTTAGCGCGGCGCTAGAACCTCGTCTGACAGATGCTATAGAGACGGCTATTTGCAAGATGTTGCGCAACTTGGAGCAGGGCAAATGCTCGTGGACGGAGGCCGATGATTCGATTCACCAACTCACGAACAATGCTGTATTCAGGAGGCTGAAGATAGATCGCGCCCCGACGGAACTTCGGACTCGCAGGCTAAAGTGGTGCGAGAGGTGGGCGGCGCGCCCGGAGTCCCACGTTTAGGTGGCGGCAGCAGTATTCGGTGCGACGCCGTTTGATATGCGAAAGCAGACATCGCGTCTTCTAGACGGTCGAATTTGCACGGACGGCACGCCATGGGCCTTGGAGTTCCCGCAGGACTTGCAGTTCTTACGTGGCCCCCGTGAAGATATGGAGTGGCATGATGCTCGAGAGTCGGACATTTCTGGATGTGCGCGGATATATATATATATATATATATATATATATATATAGTATATTTTTCTTCATCTTCTTTGTTTTCCCTTGTTTTGTGACTTTTACGCAAACGCGAAGCGATTTCGCGGATCGGAGTTGCGTTTTTTGCGTCCACAGGGCGGAAGACGCGCGCGGAGATCTTCGCGCGCTGTTTGTGCGCCGACGCGGAGGAGGAGCGGGGGGGGAGGGGGGGCGCAGCTCGAAGAGGAGGAACCCTGCGTTTGCGAGGACATGGTGAGAAGGGGGGGCGGTGCGGAGCACGTGCGCGGTTGCATGTGCGACGCGCGCAGCGGGCTCACTACTCATTAAACGTGGGTACATGGCCAGAGATCTTTGAGTTTGCTGACAGTGGCTTACCAAATGTCCGCGGTCCCGCAGTGCGTTCTGCAACGGAGATGCGGCGGTGCAGCGCGTTTTACTTTGCTCGTGAAGGCCGAGGGGCTTGTTTCGTGAACTTTTGCCAGTGGAGGCGCGATATGATTCGACCGAAGTCTTTGGCGTGCCCTGCATGTAAGATTCAGGCTCAAAGTATGGGGGCGCTGCAACTACATGTTTGTTCATCATCCTGGGCCTGCCAGGGCTCGCTTCACTCGCGGCGCTGAGGACCCGGGCGGGCGGGCGCAGGGGCGAGGCGCAGATGGCTTGGAGAGCGACGGTCGCGGCGGCTTCGGTTCCAGGCGCGGCGCCGCAGCCGGGGGTTGGCTCTGGCGGAGGCGGGGGGCAGCGGGCGGCGAAGGGGGCGGCGGGCAAGGGCTCGCAGCAGATGGGCAAGGGCGCGCCGCAGAAGTTCCAGATTGTCAGGGGCGGCGGCGGGGCGCCCGACAGGGGCGACGTCGACCTGGGGGTCGCGGTGATCTCGACGCAGAAGCCGGGGCTGGGGCAGGACCTGAGGTCGCGAGAGCACGAGCGCATGTTGCGCCTATTTTACCTGGTCCCGAAGACGAGCTGCGGGGCGAAGAGGGGGCTTCAGGGCGGCCAGGACTACGGCGCCGCGGTGGCGGCCAGGGGGCGAGGGCATCGACTTGGCGCCCCCTGCCTTCGCGCGGCCGCGGCGGCGTTCGACGGGCTCATCGAGGACTGCTCGGCTGGGGTCCACACGGGCACGCTGGTGGCCAACCGGATGCTCTTCGACCGCGAGGGCGGCCAACACTTCGTGAAGGAGATCTTCGGCGCGTTCAAGCTGAAGGAGGCGCGCGGCGATGGCGGGGCGGGGGAGATGAGCATGCAGGTGAAGTTGAACGTCCACATCGACCCGATGGCGGCCACGGCGATGTTGGTCGAGCGCATGAAGGCGAAGGTGGAAGGCGAGACCCCGCCACTCGGCGTCCCGCGGAGGGCGGTTCTGCAGGCCTTCGAGCAGGCGGGCTGTGCCGCGGGAGAGGGCGCATGGCCAAAAGACGAGCTCGCGCGGGTTGTGGAAGGGCAGTTGCACTGACTACAGCAGCAGGCGTCGTTGGGCAGGGGGCGGCCTCCAACGTCGTCAACCTTGAGAGGCTGCGTAGTCTGGCGGCAAATAATGGCATTCATGCACGGCGTATGCTAGAGGTAGCAGGGCGAGTGAGGGCGCAGCGTGCGGTAGGGACTGCGCCTGAAAGCGGGCAGGCCCACTCCCATCATCGGCATGAGGCGCGAAGTCCCCCGTGCCGATGCGGCGCCGTACTAGGGCCGTGGAACTCTGATGTGGCCGCCGGAGGCCCGCCCTGAAGGCATTAAAGTACTGGAGAGCGGGGCCATGCCATGACCATTTCAGGAAGCAGGTATTCTGGGTAGTGAAGCGAAGCCATCTGGCCCGTTGATGCGAAGCAGATGGCTCCCCCAAAACGCACACCATATCAAATCATGTCATATCATATCATAACATATCATATCATATCATTTCATCCATTTCATATAATTTCATTTCATATCATATCATATCATAGCATACCATCGCAAACCGTATCATCTCATACCATGCCGTATCATATAATATCATATCACGTCATGTCATATCATAACGTATCATAACTTGTTGTATCATATGATATTATCGCATTGCAAATCAATTTTTGTTCAGGCCATCTCATAGTATAGCATGCCACATCATATCAACTCATATCATGTTGCATCATGCCATACCGTAACATGTCATATTTTCCATTTCGTATTATGCCATACCACGCCATGCCACATCACATCATATCATATCATATCACACCATATCGTATCATACCATAGCACATCACATCACATCATATGTTATCATATCATATCATACCATATCAAGTCATACCATATCACATCATGTCATATCATATCATGTCATATCATACCATATCATATAACATCATATCATATCATAACATATCACATCATACCATACCATGCCACACCACGTCATATCGTACCACACCATTCCGTATCTTCGCATATCACATCATATCATATCATATCATATCAAATCATATCACCGCACAACATACTATATCATGCCATACCATATTATATCCTCCTCATCCTCCTCCCTCCTCCTCCTCCACCTCCTCCTCCTCCCTCCTCCCCCCTCCTCTCTCATCCTCGTTTTCCGGCTCTCCCTCTTCCTCTTCTTCTCTTCCTGCCCGTCCTCCTGCTCCTCCTGTTTCTCCTCCCTCCTCCTTCCTCCCCCATCCTCCTCTCTCCTTCTCTTCCTCCTCTTCCAGCTGTCCCGCCTGGTCCACCTCCTCCTCCTCCATCTCTTCCTCCTCCGCCTACTCCTCTCATCCCCTCCTTCCACCTCCTCCTCCTCCTCCTCCTCCTCCTCCCTTCTCCTCCTCCTCTCCTCTCCGCTCCCTCCTTCATTTTCTCCTCTCTTCACCTCGTCCTCCTTCTCCTCCTCCATCCTCCTCCTCTTCCTCTCCCCCTGCTTCCTCTCTTCTCCTTCGTCCTCCTCCTCTTCCTCACCTCCTCCTCCTCCGCCTCCTCCTCTTTCCTCCTTCATCTTTTCCTCTCCTCCTCCTCCCTGGGCGAAGGGCTCGCGGCAGCCGCCCCCGCGCGGGGCAGGCGACTCGAGCGCCTCAGGCCGAGCTGGAGCTGTACGCCCTCAGCGTGCAGCTGCGTGCCAGCAGAGCCTCGAGGCCGAGGCGAGCGCTTGCAGCTGGCCGCCCTCCGGGCAACAGGCGCGCTCCCCCATCGAGGCAAGCTTCGACCAGCCACACACACGACACCACCCACCTGCGCCCTTAATGTTGCGCTCCGGCCCCTCGGGGGGGGGGGGGGTAGCGGATACCACGCAAGAGCCCACGCCAGATTTCATGGTACACGCTGGGCCCCGTGGGGCCGTAGGTGGGGTGGTGTCGCTTGTTTGTTGGTCCAAACTTGGCATCGCTCGGACGTGTGCATGTATCCTCGGCGAGGACCATCGAGGAGCATCCTGGATCATCGAGCGAGAAAATCACACGAAAACGAAACATGCACGGGGAATGGACGTCCGAGCGATGGCAGATGAAAACCGTAACCCATACCCGTCGGTCGCTGAAAGGCACTATTTGATCCTCAGGTTCCAATATATTCTTGGCGCCTTCCTACTTCAGGAGTCGAGTGGTGCTCCCTCTTCCCTCCTCTTCAGGGGGCGGGCGGGCATCCAACCTTACTTCACACGCCTTCCTACTTCATGTGTCTATTTACTTCTTCCGACCGACGGGTAATGCCATAGTGACGGCGTGGCCTCACGGAGGTCCCCGTCTGTGCATTAAGGATCATAAGTTTAGGTGGTTTGGTTTGACATGTCTGCCGAGAAGACCACCCAACGCTTTTGGCATCCTAGCTTAGGTCACCGCCCAAAGGGTTGGGGGTCCTTTCATTGCTAATCAGGTTCGGTACGATCGACATGGGTACCGAAAGAATGGGTACGAAGACCGACGACCGTTCCTATTCGTTTTGAACAGGGTTCGCTGTCGGCGTCGCCACGGACGTTGCCCTTTTTCGAGGCGGAAGGCCGCATGCGCAACAGCAGCGTGTTCGGTTTAGGGCAACATTTATTGCTGGGCATCGTGCTCATTCTTCCGTGCCCATTTCGGGCGCCCTTCCCGGGCAGATTCGGGGAAAGATTGCCCTGAAGGTTTCAGGCGAAGGTTTTTGATGGAAGTTTTTGGCGGAAGGTTTTTGGCGGAAGGTTTTTCTTGCTTCCTGGTCCCTCGAGGTTCTCTCCTGGCCCCAGGACTGTCACATTTCTACCGGACGAGCAGCGGGTCCCGCGAAATGGGTCCAGACCTCCCAGGGCCCGCGTCAGGGAAAAAGTCTTGTTGACGCTTCGCGTGTCCACACCAGCCCATCCAGAGGCAGATCGCCAGGCGAGCTGCCTTGACCTGGGAACTGTAGGAGCATGCAGTGCAACGACCGCCTCGGAAGTGGTTTCGCGGAGGTCTCTCGGAGTAGTCTTAGGTCTCTCTTGGGGTTTTTGCGGAGCCACTTGGGGCACTCTTGGGGCCCTCTTTGGGTTTTTTAGGGGGTTAGGGGGCCTCTTGGGGCTCTTCGGGGGGTTCTGGAGGGCCGCTTGAGGCCTTCTTGGGCCCCATGGTTCAAAAAGGAGGGGGGGAAACATTCAGCCCCCTCCCCCCCTCTCGGAGGCTGAACCATGATGCTTGGAGGCCCCCTTGGGGCGCTCGTGGGGCGCGCGCTCTTGGGGGGATCGGAGGGCAGTTGAAACCGTCTTGGGGCAGTTTTGAGGCCTCTTGGATGTGTGTGTGTGTGTGTGTGTGTGTGTGTGTGGGAAGCTATCTGGAACCATCTTGAGGCATCTTGAGCCATTTGGAGTCCATCTCGGGCTCTCTGAGGCCCTCTTGGAGCCATCTGGGGCCGTCTCCTATTGGGCGCTCTAGCTACCCGCGCCCTCCCCCCCCTCCTAGGCCCAGGGGAGGGGGTACAGGGAGCGGGTAGGTGCCCTCCCAGGCCCAGGGGGTTTATTTTAATCGGGAACAGTGATCAAGGCACCCTCCAGACTGCACGTCGTCCAGCCCACGCCCACCCGCCCTCCCAACACACCTTGCCTGAGCATGTCTAGTGGTGGTCTTTGGATGGGCAGCTGCTGGGCACCAACACCAAGCCCGTGTGCGCGACGGTGGGGCGAGGTGCGCCACGCGTGCCAGGGGCGCCACGCGCGCCAGGTACCGCTGGGGCCCGAGCGTGCCAGGCGCGCCTGGTGCGCCAGATGCGCCACGTGCTCCGCGTGCGCCAGGTGTGCCGCATACTCCAGCCGCGCCAGCTGCGCCACGTTCGGGGCACTTGCAGAGTGTGTCAGGTGCGCCTGCGCACGTGACAGCACAAATCGGGAGACAGGTCGGCTCCCACCATCCTCGTCGAAAAGCAATGCCCATCATTGTGTCTGGTGGGCCTGCGCACAGCAGGCCATACGCAACCACCCCCGCCAACCTTGTTCAAAACCACATGACAGTGATCGCTGGGTGGCCGCGCATGATCCAGATTTAGCCGCGAGGTGCATTTTGTTTTGTTTCTTGTTTGGGATGGTAGCCCTGCGCGCAGCAGGCGATATGCTGACACCCCCGCCGTCCCTGTCAAAACGATACAAAGTGCCTGCGGCCCGCGCGAACATGACTCAAGACTTTGTCCCAAAGTGTACTTTGTGTTTTATTTCGACAGAGATGGTTTGGTGTTGGCCGCGTCGGGTTGGCCGCGCATGCTCCAAATGTGTAGGCAGAGTGCGTTTTGTATATTTTTTTTGAGAGGGATGGTGGGGGGGTGATCATGGTTCCTGCTCGGCCGCCGGTTGCCTGGGTAAGGGGGTGTATATTAATATAGTGATCGAGCCCCCCCCTTCGCCCGCAAGCCGGCTCGCTCACTCCCATCCTCTTTCCCAGCACAAGCAACACCCGAGGGAAACTCAGCATGTTGCTTAGGAGCGCTACGCATGCCATGCGCTCCACGGGTTCCAGGTGCACCAGGCACAAAGCGAGCCAGGCGAGCCAGGTGCGGCACGTGCTCCACGTTTGAGCAATATGCCGGCACCCGTGCCGTCCCCGTCAAAAACTATTGCGAAGTGGCTGCGTGGCGTCCGCGCGTGCTCCAGATGTGGAGGCAAAGTGCATTCTTCATTGTTTTGTGAAGTTTTGTGATCGGGATGGTTGGCCTGCGCGCAGCGAGCAAAATGACGGCACCCCCGCCGTCCTAAACAGAAGCCAGTGCAAAGAGGTCGCGGGGAGCCTGCGCACGCTCCAGATTTAGAGGCAAAGTGTCTTGTATTGTTTTTTTTTTTGACAGGGATGGTGAGCTTGCGCTCAGCGAGCAATATGACGGGACCCCCGCCGTCCCTGTCAAAAAGCAAGTGCAGAGTGGTCGCGGGGCGCCCGCGCATGCTCCAGATGTAAGGGCAAAGTGCATCATGCTTTTTTTGACAGGGATGGTTGGCCTGCGCGCAGCGAGCAATATGACGGCGCCTCCGCCGTCCCTAACAAAAACCCATGCGAAGTGGTTGCGGGGCGCCCCCGCATGCACCATATGTAGAGGCGAAGTGTTTTGTATTGTTTTTTCGGCAGGGTGTGTGTGTGTGTGTGTGTGTCTCTGTGTGTGTGTGTGGGCATGTCTCGGGTCGGCCCACAGTCGGGTGGGTGAGGGTGTGTGGGTTTGGCAGATAGAGGAGACAAAGTTTGTCAAACCACCTACGCCCAGAGGGCTGGTGGGCTTTGCCCCAGCAGAGGCGGAGAAGCGGGTCGAGCAGGCAGTAGGAGGTCGGCTACAGAGGGGATAGTGGTGCGAACAGGGCTATGTGCGCCTCAGTGCGTGTGTGTGTTTTTTAAGAATGGGTCCTGCTCGTCCAGACCAAAATTCTAGCCGGCATTGAGGCGAGAACACGATTCCTGAATACATTGTGGGGAGGTCTGCGGCAACACGGCTGCTGGACTGGGCGGTCTAGGGCTCCCCGTCCCTCCTTTTCTATGTTCTTGGTTAAAAAGTTCCCCACCTAGGCTCTGCCTAGAAGGGTTCTTACCGTGTGTGCTTAAAGAGGCCGGGCAGTGTTGCCCGCCCCGGGCGGTTCCCCCAGGATCCGCCCCGCGGTTCCCCCAGTTGCGCCCCCTGGGTTCACCCAGCTTAGCTCAGCTAAGCTTAGCTTATCTCATCTTAGCTTAGCTTAGCCTGGCCTAGCTTAGCTTAGCTTAGCCTAGCCTAGCTTAGCTTAGCCTATCTAGTCTTAGCTTAGCTTATCATAGCTTAGTATAGCATAGCTTAGATTAGCTTAGCTTGGCTTAGCTTAGCCTAGCTTAGCTTAGCTTAGCCTAGCCTAGCTTAGCTTAGCTGAGCTTAGCTTAGCTTAGCATAGCTTAGCTGACCTTAGCTTAGCTTAGCGCAGCGCAGCATAGCGCAGCGCAGCATAGCACAGCATAGCATAGCATAACATAGCCAAACATATCATAGCATAGCATAGCGTAGCTCATCATAGCATAGCATAGCATAGCATATCATATCATAGCATATCATAGCGCTGCATAACATAGCATAGCATAGATGTAGATGCAGATGTGAGTATCGCTGTTGATGTTGATGGGGGCTTTCTTGGGAACGTTTGGATGCTATGCTAACATCGCATAGCGCAGCATAGCATAGCATAGCATACATGTAGCGTATATATAGATGTAGATGTGAGTCTCGTTGTTGATGCTGATGTAGATGTATATACAGGTGTAGATGTAGATGTAGCTGTCGGTGTAGATGTAGATGTTGCTTTCCTAAATGCTCCAACTCCTAGGTAGGGTCGCACTGGGATAATTTGATTCGAAGTCTATAGCGAGACGCTACTAGGGAACATCTGCCGATAGCGGCTTCGGACCATGATACATTGGCAGTGCAATGTTTACATATCGGGCGTTGTAGCTCAGTTTCTGGCTCCTAGATCGATCTGGGTCAAGAATTGACACAGAAAGATTGGGTCTAGGGTTCCGGTCGTGATATGTTGTGATTCATAGTTTTGTTTTCGCAGCGTCGGATCTCAGGGTCTTCGGGCTGGCGGGGGCCTTTTGGTGGCTGTCGGCTGGAGAGCTCTCGTCGACACGGCTTTTTTCCCAATTCTAGTCATGACGTGTCCTAGGAGAGGTCCGTGGATTAGCGGTAGGCCTTCCACACGCCCTCGCGCAATTTCAAACATCGCGGCGGACGGTTTTGGATCATCATCCGCCTTCGAGGGCCCTTACCAGGCCTCGGGGGCGTCAAGCAACGACTCGGGATGCAGACCAGCTCTGGGGAAAGGGGTTCAGACCTCGGGGTCCGCGTCAGGGCTGGACCTAAACGATGTGTTTTTGCGATTTCGTGGGCCGATTTCGTTTTGACTTCCTCTTGCGGTAAAGGCGGATTGAGCACAACACGAAGGAAAAGGAAACCAGAACGGAAACGACAAACACCGCTCAGGCTCCGCCCTGGCCCACGTCATGAACACATCACGACGCCGTGGGTCTGGGCTCTCGGGCCAGCGGCGCCCCCCGGCGGCCTCTGGCGACCCTCGGAGGCCCGCGGCGGCACCTCAGAGGACTCGGGGGTGGACAGACCTCCTGCCCCGACACGTCGATTGGTGAATGGTCCGTTGTCGGTTCTCGAGAGGGCGCCGCGGCCGTCATTTTCCAGGCTGGCGCCCGCCAGGTTTGGGCCCGAGGTCGCTTTCACCAAACCACGTTTTGCTAAAGGGGGGTCTGCCCATCCCCGGAGGACCCTCCGTGTGTCCGTCGGGGGACCTCGGCGGCCCTCGCACGCCCCTCGGAGGCCTCCGGCGGCCCGCGGAGCTTCTCGAGGGTCTCCGAAGGCTCCTCCGTGGGCCTCCCACCCGCGCAGCAGGTGTCACTCTTGGGAGCTCCTGGGGGGTCCAGCGGGGCGGAGTTGTGCGCAGGCCCGGCCAAGACCTCGTCGGGGCTGCCTGGGGGGGCTGTCTACAGCCAACGCGCACAGTAAGGAGAAACGGCTTTGTCAAGGGTGCCCTTGGGTCCTTGCCTGCCTCAGCCTCTGCGGCCCGTCCCTAGCAATTTTCGCAGGCCAGTTTCTCAGGTTCCCTGGGGGTTTGGTCGCCTGCCGCTCAGAATACTTCAACTTCGGCCTCCAAGGCTCTTGCGTCATTACCACGCGTCCTTATTATACGTTTTCACTGTACTGCGCAGCCGTCGCCGTTTTCGCGTGCTCCTGGGAGGTCCAGCGGAGTGGAATTGTGCGCACACCCAGGCGAGACCTCTGTGGCGACGCGTTCCGGGATATGTCATACCCTATGTGTGTTCTTTCGTATTGAGCGGTCCTGCTTATAGCAGCCCCGTGTTGATACAAGGGTTGGGTATACCTCGGGTAGTGTATGTGGTTATTCGGTAGGATCGAAACGGGTACGGAAATAATGGGAACGAAGACCGACAGCAGTTATTGCCCATTTTGAGCAAGACTCGCTGTCGATGTCGCCGCGGGTGTTGTCCATCTGAGACAGGAAGTGAGACAGGAAGTCGCCTGCCCACCAGCGGCCGCCGTAGGTGTTTGACATACCATGCTGTCGGCATCGTGCCACTGCCACCTTTTTTCCACACTCGGCCCCAGAGGCTGAACTTCAGGGGACATGTCGGGGGCCACATGCGAACCCTACCCCTACCCCCCCCCCCCCCCGATTTCTGAGGGGTAGGGTGGGGTTCACTTCGCTCGGGAGCTCCCGAACGGAGTGAACCCCACCCTCCCCCTCAGAAATCATGAGGGGGTAGGGGTAGGGTTCGCATGTGGCCCCCTAACATGGGCCGCCGCAGTTTTTTTCGCGACGCCAGGTGTCCTGGGACGACGGCGACGGCCAGCCCGCAGCTTCCCCCCAAAGCCTTCAGCTTTCGGTCGTCGACCTTCGGACTCTCGGTGCGGGACCCGGAGGAGGAGGAGGAGGAGGAGGAGGAGGAGGAGGAGGAGGAGGAGGAGGAGGAGGAGGAGGAGGAGGAGAGGAGGAGGAAGAGGAGGAGGAGGAGGAGGAGGAGGAGGAGGAGGAGGAGGGCGAGGAGGAGGAGGAGGAGGAGGAGTCGGGTGCGCCGCCATGGGGCGGGACTGGCCCGGGGGGGAAGGGGGGACCGGGGGAACATCGACCCCCCATCGCGCATTGATCTCCAATCGGGGCCTCGGTGACCCCTCCCCGCCCAGGATCGCGCGGCCTCGCTATCGAGGCCCCATCGCCGATCCTTCGGCGATGCATCGCCGATCCCACTTGCATATTCACTGCCTGCGCCAGTTCCCCTCCTCGCCCCCCCTCGACGCGGAGGACGAGGAGGAGGAGGCCCCTCCGACCCTCCGCGCGAGGCGCTGGCGCCACTGCCAGGGCGCCAGAGGCGCGACCCCGACACGCACTTTGCCAGGAGCTCGCCGCGCGCATGAACTGTGCCGTGTCGTCATCGTCGTCGTCGTCGCCGTCGTCGTCGTCGTCGTCGTCGTCGTCGTCGTCGTCGTCGTCGTCGTCGTCGTCGTCGAAGTCGTCGTCGTCGTCTTCGCCCGAACCGGCACGAGTGATGGCGATCTGCGAGGGGCGCCGACATCACGATTCCCCTCGCGCGGTGCTTCTTCCCGATCCGTCTGGGCAGGCGGCGCGCCTGGGAGGGAGGCGTGAGACGGGGCGGGCCTGCTCAGAGGGCTCGGAAGCCCCCCCCCCGGCCTTCCGAGAAGAGGTTTTCGAAACTTTCCCCGAGGGCACGGGGAACCTCTCAGAAGGCGCGAGGGTTTCTGAGGAATGCCGCCGCCTTCTGAGAAGGCCTTCCATTTCTCACTTCCCCCCCCCGCGCTCTCTCGCCGCGGACCTAAGCCACCAGCCTGCCAGCAGGTGCCTCTCAGAATTGCTTCGTCCCCCGATTCAGCATCGCTGAACTTATCCCCATCCCCACTGGGCCCCGCCAGCCTACCCCAGCGGTTGTGGATGGGCCCCGCGGAGCCCGAAGGGAGCACCACATATTTCTCCATCCTCCCGCCCTGGGCACCCGCGAGAACCTGCGTGCACCTCAGGCAGCTCCGAGCCAGGCCTCGGATATCGCCCGTGCCTGCCGAGCACGCCGTTGCCTCCGACGGAGCTGCGCCGCCGCGTGCCGGAGCGCGCCGCGCGGTGGCCGGCGCCTCCCGGGGCGGGCTGGCCGCCGCGGCGCAGCGGAGCAGCGGCGCTCCGCAGCCGAGCCCGCGCGCCGCGCGCACTCGCGCGCGCGGGGGCTCTGCGCGCGCCGAGGCCCGGGGGTATGTCGGGCGTGTCCCCCTACAGGGGGATTTTCGACGAAACATTATTTAAAAAACAACAACCCAAAATACACCAAAAAGGTAACAAACATACTAAAACAAAATAGTCTCCAGACTATTTTTGGATTATTTTTTGATGATTTTTTGTGTACGTTTTTCGTAGAAAATCCCCCTGTAGGGGGACAGGCCCGACTTCAGCCCGGGGGCCGCTGCACGGCGGGGGGCACGGCCCGCGCGCCGCGGGCGGGTGCGGCGCTCGCGCGGGCGGGGGCCGCTAGGCCCGTGGCTCGCAGCCCCG